TACTCCTCAGGGCCCTCACGTCGTTGGAGGTCGTCGCCGTCGGTGTCTGGATGGTCTGCAGCTGGTCGGAGTGTCCCTTGATCTCCTGCTGCGTCGTAGCCAACTCAGCACGCATGCGTTTTATGACGGGATTGTTCTCCAGGTCGTGATGCGAACTCTCCTCAAGGCCAGCCGCTTCCGCCAAACGCTTAATCGCATGTTGGAGTTTGCTGTCAGATCCTTGGGCTCCGCTCATCACACTGGTGAGCGCCATATCTAGATCACGAGCGGGTTGATTAGCCGACGCCATGCCCTGGACGGCCTGGCGCCCAACGGCGTTGGGTGGTGGGCTGCCCGTGGCAGCTGCTTGGTCTGCTTGGCTGATGATACTGCTGATACGGCCAATCTCCCCAAATGCCCGAATGCTGTCAACCATGTCACTCCACTGTCCAAGCGCGTTGCCGAAGCCGCCCATGCCACCACTACTGTTACTACCGTATGCGCCGCCTTTACCTCCCCAGCTGCCGCTGCTGCAGCACTGGCTTTGCCCCTTGTGGCCCTTGGGAGCTCCCATGGCGGACGATCTGGGAAACGAGGTAAAAGGAGGACGGTGCAGGCGGAATGCGATCAGCTCAGAAACCTGGTCCAACCCAAAAGAAATGGCTGTGGAGTTAGGTATAAGATGCTGGCAAGCACGTTCCACCAAGTCTAAACACAGGAGCACAAGGTCCACACGTTCACCTGGAGGATAGATGTTATACCACATTTTCCTAACACAGCCACGAGGGCATCCCATGCGATAGTAGAATGCCATATCGATAGTATAGACAACAATCAGGTCGATAGTGTCAGGGTTAAGTCTACCCCAGCAATGAAGACGCCCTTTAAATTCCGATCGTAGTTGTCCTAGCTCACGACGGGTAACGTGTCCAAGGTACGGCGGAGCACTCTGTTTTTTCCTAAATCTAGAGATATCCCCAATAAGTACATCCTCCTCATTTTTGTGCTGCGGGATGTATCTGACCCCGTCGAATCCCCAAACCACAAGAGCATCTAAGTATCGAAAGACCACACTTGACCCAATCTGTTGGAGCGAGCTGTCCAATTCAAAAACCAGTCTTTTTATATATACAATACATCTGCTTCCATAAACAAGAACGACAAACCCGATAGGATAACAAGATGGTGTCGTCAACGTATCTTCCTGCAGCCACTTCAAGTGCACGTCGTGAGGTAGTAGGCCTAGGTATAGGGTGCTGATCGTAATGGTACTCGAGGTATGAGAGGACGAGGTGGAGGATGGCCCCCGATAGTGGCCCACCTATTGGAATACCGGATAGTTAAGCTAGGGCAATACCAGAGAAGGTAAAGAACCGAAATCCGAGGAAACCTTCAATCGCGCGTTTAAGACTGCTGAACAGAAACACGGTGCGATCCCAGTGTCGAATGCCAATCCGTCCTCCGAGTACGACCTGGGCAGCTGCAGTGTGTAGAACCGAGAGCGTCCGTGTCCTAAGCTGGGCCTCGGCCTGTTGAAAGAAAGAGTCAACGGCAACACGTATAGACTTGGACTCCAGAGCCTCGTAGGCCTGGCCTGCGTCAGACACGGTGAACCCTGGGTAGCCCATGCATGCACGGCACCGTACGCACACAGCCTGTCTCGTACCAGGGAAGTAACGGGGAGGTGCCAGAAGGCCAACAGCAACGTCTAAATCATCAAAGGCTGTAGCTGGCCCAAGAAACGCCCATCCAGGAAAAATGACATTGGTGAGATAAATAATACCTCTAGAGTTTCTTCGATAGAGCTGTCGCCCCGGAAGTTTGAAGAGGAAGAAGAAGAAGAAGAGGAGGGGGGGGGGGGGGGGGGGGGGGGGAAAAAAAAAAAGATGTCCCGGAAGTTTGAGGGGGGGGGGGGGGGGGGGGGGGGGGGGGGGGGGGGGGGGGGGGGGAGGGTGGAAAAAAAAAAAAAAAAAAAAAAAAAAAAAAAAAAAAAAAAAAAAAAAAAAAAAAAAAAAAAAAAAAAAAAAAAACTGCAGATGTTCCTCATGCACGAGCGCCCCGTCTTAGCACACTTCTTGTTCCCATGGTCCACGAAGCATGTCAGTTTTATCGTAGGGTAACAGTATGGTAAATTCTGCATGTCAATAGTTCTCTGTGATGGGGGGTCTGAGGCTCTTGGGGACACTGAAGTCGCATGTTGGACGGTACCGCTGGAGGATATGAGGTAGAGGAAGAACGTTAAGTCGCCAACGGCTTTGGGCATGAACGAGGAGACCGAGCCAACGGCACTGCATGTGAACAATACTTGAACCCCAGAGTGTCCGAGGGTCCTTGTCTTCCACAGTATAACTAATGATTCCACGCGTAGCCTCCAAGCCTCTGCACAGACGATGTAGCGCCTGCCGCGGCGCCGTCATCGCCCGAGGGGGAGATGCTCCAGAATCATATGTGGCAATCAAAGTGACCGAGAGCACACGCAGTAATATGGGGTCAACGGCGGAGCGTCGAAGCCAGGAAGCACATCTGGAAATACTGTTGGGTGACACATCCTGGTACACTTCAGGAATCCAGGGGGGGCGTCCACAAACAGGTAATCGAAAAATATATTCTCCTTTAGCTGATATCCTCAAACCTCCAAAGTTATGTTGTCCAGGAAATCGATGTTATTCTTGGCCAGGCCCTGGGCAATGGATTGGCATTGTTTTTGCATGGTCTGCGTTGCCCCAAGGGAAATACGAACCTGTTTTCGCGCAAGTAGAGCCCAGGCAGGCCTGACGAGGGAGGCGCGGCGAAGGACGAGATTGACCCATTTTCGCACAGGCACGAGATCGCCCTCACGATCCAACACGAGCGCGACACCGCCTGGACGAGGCAAACCCATCATCTCCAACTGTGCTGCAAGCGAGGCCTGCACGATAGCCTTTTCGCGCCAGAAGGGGAATACTGTACATTAGCCCCACAGCGTATACAAGTAATCCGAACCGTGCCGCTTTCCACGGAGAGCGCGCTGCCACATTACCTCGTGAGACTTCCATGCACAGAAACGAACGAGCAGGATCGCGCTGGTGGGGCCATACAAATACAAGGGTCCAAAAGAGTGAAACCTGGCAAGATGACGTCGAAGAAAGAAGTCATACACACTGTAAAAATGTCCGCGCAATACTGTGTTCCACTCCCGAACGCGTTCACGTTTTCTGGTTTGTCTTATATGAAGACTGCGAAGAGCTTCAAATCGTGTTTGCTGCCAAACCTCATGCATTTCCATATTGTCCAAAGCCCGAGGAAGGTGTAGACGGCGTGCATGGCGATGTTTTCGACCCCTGGGACCTTTTGTTCCGTTGTCGTCGTGAACGTGTTGACATGGGTTTGTGAGTGGTGAAATCGCCGTAGGCTTTCGCAATATTGTCGGCCTCTGGACACGCAAAAGTAATATACGAAGCCCCGATTGCCGTGGCCATGTGCGTGGGCATAATGGTCATGAACATGATGGATATGGTGCGTGCGTTATGTGAAGCCAGCAAGGAGACATAACGTGCTCGATCAGCTAAGGGCTTATCCAGCTTACACTTCTTTAAGGCTTTGTAGTGTTCGCGTGTTCTAGCAATAGCTCCACTAAGTGTACCAGTACGCCGTCGAATACTACCCTGTCCTATGTATCGTGCGCGTGTACCAATCTCATATATAAACGATGTCGCCCCCGAGGAGCGAGACGATGATCCCATAATACATGCTACTTGTATGCGTAGAAAATCACGTAGGGCAAGGACGTCGATAAAGGTGGCCCCGTGAGGTCTCAAAAAGGCTCGCTGGAGATCAACGTCCATTGGTAGACATATATGCTGCGCAGTCCGACGGGCCCGTCGCCCCTGCGCCCAGAGATATCGCATATAAGTGGTCTTGTGAGAGACCAACAATGTCACGTACATCGCTGAGAAATGAAGGGTTGGTACACAATCACCACCTGCAAAACGATCGGAGAATTGCTGGATAAGATGTCCCAGGAGAGAAAGATAGTCCATGGACGGTTGAGCACATGATACCTGCCAAGGTATTGTCATCATCCGCTGATCTATAACTTCCGTCGTGCGGACGTGGGGAATATCATTGCCCCTGAAGATCAGAGATACAGTCAGATGAAGAACCCAATCCGTGATGCTTCGGATCTGCTGCTCAAGAACGGGTTCAACCAAACTTTTTGGTAGATGAGAGTGCGTATACTTGGAGGACATAGATGTTCGCAAGCTTGCATCTACCAGCGTACTGATGGTCACAGAGGGCGTCCCTGCATCGCAGGGCTGAATAATCACAGCACAAGTTAGTAGAAGTCGAACTACGAGTACGAGAAGGTTATGAAAGTTGCGAGAGCGGTACAGTCTGGCCTGTCGTCGGACCTCCACACCATCGCAAACACATCGTGATGAGCACATAGACCCAATCAGCCTCAAACCAAATCCCAAGACCTCAAGATATCAATCCCAAGACATCAGTGGATCGGAATGGTCGACAGGCCAGTTCGTTGGACAAACGTTTTTATCAGAGGGCGACCAGGGCACGGTTACTGAGCGTCGCCTGCAAACCGTGCTCCCGAGACATAAAGTCTCCTCTGAGAGATGTGGCTGCAGGAAACAAGAGCAAATGATGACCATGAGCACATACATGCATACAAGAAAGAAGTGGCGGCGGCTGGTGTTGACGGTGCTGGCGTGTGCGCTGGCGAACATAGCGATGCTGGCCTGCTGTGCAGGCTTCAATACCGATAAAGATGTTCAAAACAACAAAGCTGAGAAAGGTTGTAAGCACACACACACATACACACACACACACACGCACACGCAGACACTCACATACATACACACACCACACACACACGCAAACACACACAGACACACACACACACACACACACACACACACACACACGCGCACGCATGCAAACAAACGAACAACACAAACAACAACAGCAACAACAACAACAACAACAACAACACAAACTCTGGGTGTCTGGGCCCCTCCCCCGAGCTCCAGCGATCTCGGCGGCGCGCCATAATACGGGGAAAATCGCCTCGCGGTAGCGGGCCACGCTGAAGCCACCAAGCTGCAGGTCGCCCTCCGCGAGATCGCCGCAGGTCCACGAGCCGAGGCTGAAGTCGCAGGAGCCGATCGGCAGACGCCCCAGCGTGTAGCCGAGGCCGCGGGAGGGGTCGAAGCCCTCCGGCCAGCCCCGCAGGGGCAGCTCCAGGCGCACGGAGCCCCCGCATTCTCGTCCTCGTTATGCTCATCACCATCATCATCAACGCAATCCTCGGCAGCATCATCCATTGGTTCATTCCTCA